CCCCCCCCCCCCTGTTTTTTTAAAATATTCTTTACCTTTCTTTCCTTTCTTCGTGTATAGATATAGCTGCAGAGTTTATCTATCGTGTTACGTAGCATGAAGGAACTCTGTGATAGAGGCCGGTTATGCATTATGCATGAGTTTTTCCCTATGCTAGTACGTCCTATATATATATATATAGCGCATAAGGCCTAGCCACTCGTTCCCATAGTAAATTTTCCATAATCTTCGATATCCACCCTACGAGTCCCATTCCCCCTTGGAACCCTCCATAACATTCCGGTTTCTTTGAGCAATTTTTTTTTCTTTCCTTTCCAAGGCACCTCGTCTCCCCGCGAGAGAGAAATATTTTCGCCGTTAAAGTAAGATCGATCGAACGCGTTCAGATTAATCGTCGAATATAGAAAAAAAAGAAGAGCATCAGGCCGAGGGTTCCCTGAAGGGACCAGCAGTGACTCTCAACCCGATAGCATCTATCAAGATAAATAATAATAATCTCAGGCGCTGATCTTTCCTTCCTGAACATATATATATATATATATGTATATATCTATTCGGTTACCTTTTGTCCAGGCTTCCCACTCTTGCCGTCCGGGGAGTTTGAACATTTTTCTTCTTCTTTGTTGTTTATCAAATGGCGGCGTTATTATTATTATTTCTCTACCTTCTCTCTCCACTCCACTCACAGTGTAACAACCGCGCGTGCATACGTGTCCACGATGGCTGCCAGCTTGAGCGACTGGGCCTGTGCGTATTTCCAATTGTCGGTTAGGTATACGTATTCTGCACAGTCAGTCGTACCGTGCAGTCGTTTCCTCTTGAACGAGTAAAGCGTCAAGCGACTTCCTACCTTCGCAGTGCATTTCTATAAAAACGACACCCCGCTATCGAAATACGATAAGAAACTTTCAGAGGTTCCTTCGCTCAAGTCATTATTCGATCGACGCAGCAGCATTCTATGTAAATACATAAATTCCTGTAGAATGTAATACGTAAAAATTTCACTGTACATTCGTAAGAGAAAATTGAATTAGAAGCGACGAATCCTTAAGCCCGGTATACACCGAAGGTTATTCGATGCTTGAAAAAAAAAGGATTCCACAAAGGGAGAAGAAAACCGGTTAACACTTGATTGTCAGGTACCAGAGGCGTCGGCCCATAAGTCAACCCACACGTACGCACGTATACGATAACTTGAAAAAATCACCAGCGCACTTTCAAATATAACATGGAGAAAAAAAAATCTTTATTAAATTCACCACAAAGCAGCGTTCGCTAAGCTGCACAAAGGAAACTCAATGGAAAGTCGTGAGAGTTTTGTTGTCGGTCTGCAGCGAGTAAGTAAGTCAGTCAGTCAGTCAAGGAGGACTTGGTCGCGTAAACTGACTGGTATAAGGAGAAGACTCGCGCGTTTGACCGCCACTAAATTAACCACAATTACGTCTGAACCCACACTGATCAGGACACTCACGTATGAGCATTAAATAAAGCTTCGTGGACTACGTGTACGTACTCGCAATGCTCACCTCATACTCGCATACGACTAGACGGTATCAGCTGCCTTGGGTCGTTGTGTGGCTGTATAGTTGATAGTGGGTACCGACTGGCTACTGGTTCAGATAACGAACGCCAGAGAACTCGACGTCGGAGCGAATAATCGCGAGGAAACGTTAAGTACAATTGAGAAAAGAAAATCCGTGGGCAGAGAACCAGGGAGGAGGTTCATACGTGCAATTGCAACGATCGCGCGTGCAGCTGCAGTGAATTTCGTAGTTCGTAGCAGGACGTTGCCAAGATATTTGTGACAGGTGTCGCCACTGTCGGAGATGAGATATTTTAATAACAAATTGAGATTGTCATACCGAACTGGCTTATGGCACGTATATGTGTACGAAAGGATGTAATTGAGGCCTGTCGGCGTACATAAATAATGCAGAGAGACAAATTGATATGCAGCACCATTTCTCTATCGACTTCCTTCCTGTCCGAATTGAAGGGAAGCGTCAAGTGACTGTTGCAACAGGACGACTTCTATCGTTACCTTCGTACTATTCTTCTCGCGTCTTAACGCCACCGGATGAGTATACAAATGACCATAGTAATTATAGAGATGCTTATGAGACGGTGGAGAGAAAAATTACGTTTTACCGGAGATAGCTATAGAGCTTATTGGTCGATAGGTTATCGGTGATCTAGTGTTTTACTAGTGGAAATTTACGCTTCGGCTTGAATGGCTAGTGGAGATCGATGATTTAACGATGGGAGGAGACGGAGAGGGAAAATGAAAAAAAAAAATTTTCTTTCACTGGACCAAATGCATTTATGATGGAGAATGAAAGGGACTGTAGAGAGTTGATAATAGTGTGTGCTATGCACATAAAATTACAGTCTTAACGAGGTCCGCCTTGTCCGCTTTTATTAGAGAGAGCCCAAGCGTAGGTGGATGATTAGGTAGTCTCGTCAAGATAAATCAGACACTTCAGGTAATTGTGATATCGGTAAAATTCTCTTTATCCAAAAACCTCCGAGGGATCGTTAAACTCCCGATCGAGAAACAGAGTAAAAGTGGTACGTTAAAGAATTTTATGATCGGTACCACAATGGGAATGTTCGTGCGAACTTAAGTTTCGTAGAATTAATTCATTTCACTGGCGGATATCGTCGCTCTGCTACTTAGGCTACTTTTTAACGTTGGTTAACAAGGACTCGCGTGTTGCACGACTTGTGCTCGTAAACTTTTTTATTTAACGGGCAATTTCCTGGTTCCCTTCTATGACTTGGACTCCATTCTCAACCAAAGCCCCTCGAAGTGTGATCTGCATTTACCTAAAGGATATCGGTTACGCTACAAATTCAATAAATTTTTTTTTATTTTCTTCACAGTCGTAACGTGACGGTTATCGAATTTGTAATCTGCCGTCTGGAGTATAGGTAACGAGTATGAAAATAAAAAACGTGATAATACGATTCGCGGATATTGCTTTCAGTAAGAATAACATAGAATAATACGTAATGGGGTGTTAACGTTGCCATTAGGCATTGACAATGACATAGATACATTGGATCGTATGAATCATGCATCTGCCGATACTAAATTATCGAATCGGATCAATAACGTGTCTGAATTTCCCATTTTCACCGGTACTGGATTTAACATTGAATTCGATAGTTATTCTTGGCAAAATTTCAAGACCGACTTTCTTTGATCTCTTGTTTCCTTATTTATACTTTACGATTTAAAAAAAAATTCTTATTCTCGAAATTCGAGAGGCTGCCTGAAAAAGTAATATTTCGCAATTTCCTTCGAGGATTGCAGCAGTTTTACTATACGATCTTTCGAAAGAAGCCTGGAGAAAATTAAAGGACTACCGTTCGTGCTCTACCGGTGATTCTCATTATATATTATACGTACGCGTATCCTTCGACAATCGTGTGCATATGGCGTAACGCTCTGTGTTTACGAGCTCTAATATACAAAAGGACTGTATATGTATATAGTAAAGGTTCCTTTGAAGAACACGAGAAGAATAACGCGTCCCAACGCGAGTCTAAGACTTTAATACCAAAACCCAGTACCTTTGAATCTCACAGATTTATCATCTTTCCATCCAATATCGTGTATAAAGCGTAAACCTATTTTTCACCAGGGCTTATCGCACACGGAAGGAAGAATAAAGTAAAATCGATAAATACCATCCCCTCTATCCTCAAAGCACAGGAATGTTCCTTGCGACTGGACAAACACGCCAGAGAATTTCATTTCCGGCAATACTGATCCTCCAGCAAAGGATCAGTGACGTACGTATAAAAAAAAGTGCCCGATACACAATTTTACGCAATACCACATACGTATATCCCATACGTTATTTAGACCCTACAAAACTGCAAAGTTGGATGAAAAATGACAAAGACTAATGAATTCAATTAGTCCGTACGTCATTTGTCCCATAACGTGTATAGCATTCATCAGTGAATTGGTATCGTGCTGATTAACCTATTCGCGGTATAGCGTAACTTGAAGGGGACAGAGAAAAGAGAGCGAAATTTAATTTCACCAATTCAAATGGGATCTCGGTACAATTCATTCTCACGGGCATGTAAGTCAACCCTTGTTCCTGTTCTATAACGAATCAGATCTCATTCATGCGGAAGGGACTTCTTGAACGATACCGGTACGCGTAACACACTGAGTGGCTGCGCGTATAACGAATTTAGAATGAGAATTTCCCTCGGGCAGTGGCGTTACGTCAATGTGACATGTCTCTACCTTGTCTATTAATACTGTACTCGAGTTGCGAGTCGAGAGAGCATGCTCACGTACGAGTACACATAGTATATATATATATATATATATATATGTATATGTATATATATGTGGTACGGTCGTTCCGTAAATACAAAACACGAACCGGGCACGATCGCACGGCGAGCATTAGTGCGGGGATGTATATGTATATATATGTGGTACGGTTCTATTAATACTGTACTCGAGTTGCGAGTCGAGAGAGCATGCTCACGTACGAGTACACATAGTATATATATATATATATATATATATATGTATATGTATATATATGTGGTACGGTCGTTCCGTAAATACAAAACACGAACCGGGCACGATCGCACGGCGAGCATTAGTGCGGGGAGAACTAATTTGCGTCTTCCTGCGCGCAAGAGAAAGAGACAGCGAATATATGGATAGTGCGAATAAGAATGAGAGAGTAACAGAATGGGAGAGTCACTGTAGAATTTTATTTCACGGGCGAGCGTACGATGACTCTGGACGCGTTCGTGTATATGTATATATTTTTATAACTTTTTTCTTTTCCTGCCACTCTCTTTTTCTCTCTCACGCGCGATACACGTATATTTTTCCTGGGAGAGAGCTACAGCCCTGACAGTCTGAAAAGTCAGTGTACATATGCTGCACACGTCTGGCCTTGTAGGCAACACCCAATTCTAGATAAGAGTACCCGTACCTTCTTCGGATGCTCGTAGATACAGTAAATACAGTATTCGAAGAAAGAACCTGAACAGGGTATAGCCTGAAGCTAAACGGAATACCGAAGCTAACCTGCCGGGGTCGTCGAACCTGTTTTTGCGTAGCGACTCTTCCTGGGGATGTTTGTACCGATCCTCCGGATCATTGGGATCGTAGTAAACATGTATGGACGATTAAAATAAATGAGGATTATTTCTCTCTACCTGGAAATACGTCCTTGGTATCAGGGCTGTATGGATGTATCCATCCGTTCCTCTGTTGAATGATGCACTGGAACATCTTGAACGTAATAGCGTTGGCACAGGTCAAAGGACGACGATTATCTCTTTCCCTTAATCACTCACGAGACACCATATCTATATATCGCGTCTGAGAATCGGCTTGCAGATTAATATATATAAATATGCATATATATATATATATATACAGATATAGAAAAATCGGACTCGTTAGGCTTGGACGCAGAAACGAAACACACACGTCACATGTTGGCAGCGTAAGCTTGCTGCTAGGCGCAGATCAGGTCAACACGAGGACGTTCCTTGCCAAGTGGAGCTGCGCCGATCGCATTATCCGATGCTTCTCGGACGCGCTCAGTAAATCCATCCGGCACGGCCGCCCCATCTCATCTCATCTCGTTCAGAGTTTCTTCAAGCTTCTCTCCTCGTCCCGTCGTCTCCGTCATGCGACGAGCCTCTTTCACGAAGCTCGACGAGCAACCTCATGGATACAGCCACGTAGAAATGACTTCGGTGATAATAGCCGGCGCGAGGGTTATTGTCGTAGAACTGCAATGAAACTGCTGTTCCTACCCACTCGCTACGAGAGACCGACGACTGTTCCTTGCTCCTGCGGAGGGTGGCTGGCTGGCTGGGATCGAACTAGATGGCTGGCTGGTCGCCAGGCAACCGGATTCTCTCTCGCTCGCTCGTTCCCTCCTCTAGCCTCGCGCTCCTTCCTCCCCGAGCGAATTCACTTCCACTCCTCCCTCACGGCTTCGTCCCCGGCCCCTGGGCAACCCTCTTTCCTTCTTCCGCACCACCATAGAGAGCAGAGACGTGGCGATGCTGCGTGTTGTTGTTCTTGCTTCGAGCGCCGGTAGGGCTGGGTTTCCCGGCTATGTACCTATCCAACGCGAGAGTGCGAGAGAGAGGAACGCTCTTCTCGGATTATGACTAAGGCATCCTCGCGAGAGCGGCTTCGAAGGCGTCGATCTCGAGGATCTTCCTCGTACGGACTTGGCTACGAAGTGAACTCCTCTCTGACTACGTGGAGCGTAGAGACTCGGGCTGCAGGAAGAGAAGTCTTCTGTCTCGATCAGAGAGTGAGAGAGAGAGAGAAACGCACGGAGGGAGCACCAGGTGAAGGTGGGTAGGGGAATCAATGGAAGTTGCTCTTTCTATCTCTCTTCCTCGCTCTCTCTATAGGTTACCAATCTCCCACTACCTCGGCTGGTTACCACACAGCACACTGTCCAACCCTCGAAGCGTGACCGTGACTGTGACTCTGACTGTGACTGCTACTCGCCCGCCACGCCAACCACCGCTCCTAGCGCGCTAGTTTGGTCAACAAGTGTTTAGCTTTTCATCGACCACTTCACGGTGCTATGGGATCACCTTACAGACTTCGTTATGAAGCAACGGTTTAATATCGACTGAAGCCAACTTACTCTCCTACGCCTTGTACGTGATTCGTATGTCCGCCTACTGCGCCTTTCCCTCTTCTTGGTTTACGACACTGCTGTTGCAGTTGGGTTGGATTCAATGACACTTTCCGACTAGTCAAAAGAAACCTGAAAGGGTGGCTGTACAAAGGACCTGAGCGTCATTCTTTTTTCATCCTTTATCCCGACGATAACCTATATATCCACGCGTGTCTTACGTATAGGGATATTCTTACTGCGATATACCCAACTTGTATATGTACTTGGTGAAAATCCTTTGTGCTCGCAGAACACCGACATTGCCATGTGGAATTCTAATGACAGGAGAGCACAGAATCGCGAGCATTCAAGAGATATCGAATTTCGAAACGCTACTCGTCCTTCCCTTCATCTCCAGTAACTCCCTCCTGTCACGTTGCATTGTCAGTGTAATAAGAGTCCGCATGGTATAGCGATCGACCGCACCCTACATTGAAATACGTTACGAGGGGTTACTTTATGTTTGCTAATAAATTAATGACTAACGAATCTCTCCGCGTATCCTGTTTTTTGGGATATGCTACTACGAGGGATCATCCGGTCGGGAGGTTGTCGATCTTCGTTAACGATTCGTTTAAACTTTATGTTGACACAGTTTTTACTTATACTCGCTCGTTATTATTTCTTCACTTGGTATAAATATATGTATGTTAATTGGTCGGATATCCTCGATACCTGAATTTAAATTTACTCGGGATGCATTTACTTTATCGGCATCCGAAATCTCACGAGCGATCCAGGCCTGTTACAACGTACGTTCAAAATATATAAATTCGCCGCGGGTAATTATCACGCGGTCTCACAGCGAGCTTGCATTTGAAACTCGTGAGTCTGACTATTTTTGGAACGGCGCCTTTAGAGAAACTTTCGGTTTTCGTTACCACCCACATTTCCACGTGAGGCCGAGGAAAGCGATTCGTGAGCGTACGCGATCGCGCTCAGCTGCGTCGTTACTCATCCTTCGGCTATCCGTTCGTGCTCGAGATTTCTCCACGAGCTTGTGGGTAGAGAAAAAGCTGGATTTAAAAGAAACGATACCGGGCTAAAAGTTTACACTGTTTTTGTCTCTTATTAAAAAAAAATACTTTTTTTTTAACTTTTTTTTACCAAATTCAAACAGCACAGCTCTTCAAGGACTGCGCTAACGTATATGGAGAATCCTAGGGGACCGGAAGGCACGTACGCTGCTATGTGCCGAGAGCCGTCCTGACGCCATGTTACGACTATCAAGACGTCATAAATATTTTTAATTGCCAACTATGCTCTTTGGGGACCACGCATTTAGATCAATTACAAAGCACCAGACTCATCTCACGCAGCATCACGGTCACTTTTAAATTAGTATGATTCTGTAACCTTGTTACGCGGATCGAGTTCTCTCTCTGCGTAGACTTTGTATACTACTGTAAATTACATTGAAATTTCTATACCGATGACTCTTCAACAGTCTGACAGAGGATAGCTTATAACTTGACTAACGTCTATTTCTTAATCTCGGTACAGACAGAAAGACAGGTTGAGTCAGTCGAACTGTTGCCGGTACGTTTACCGAATCACTCATCGCCAGACGATTATGGCTCATGCTAACTCATCTCCATTCGGTAGACATGTTTTCCTTAGATATTCGCTTCAAAGGCTTCGCAGTTACAAAGAAAGATACTCTGCCTACCGAAATTAACACGAATCACTGGATATTAACTATATAATAGTATTTTTATATAAAATAATTGAAATTGAAATTTTTCTATCTATTCCGGTATCTCAATACTATCGATACGAACTTGATTGGAATGGCGACCCTGCGACGAAGTCATTACCGAGAAATACCGATTCAGGCAGATAATGGCTTCACTTCCATCCCTATAATTTGGCATCTATTGTGGCTCAGGATTCCCGATACAATAATCTCGTTAGAATTGATTGCTCCTTGGAAACGTAGATAGGAACATCTGGAATCGTGATTAATCTTAGAAGTTAGAAGCATGTCTGACTCTTCATGGATTATTAAGGACAAGTAATTCGCATGCTGCAACGTGACGTGATTATATACGGGGATCCGAGACCTCCAGGCAATTCGTTCCAATGACACAATCATTAACGATGCAAATTGCATGCTTAATCATGGACTTTTCGAGGTTAAGGAGCACTCCTATTTTATCCCTGCGTTCTATGAAACATCAATTTTGTTTTCTGTGAAATAAAAATTTTTGCCCCTGACACCATACGCCCTTGTAATTTGCTACCCTATTTAGCATGCTTTCCTCGTCAAAATGTCAACCCTTAGAAACGTATGAGCTCGATTCAAATGTTAACCCCCCTCTTCCTCTATACATGGGTACCTCGTTCCCGGCATTATCGCAATTCCACTTCTAGGCTCCGATCGGATTTTCAATAAGAGCAACTTTCGTATCTCGCCAGACGAGAGTAGCCAGGTTGCCAGACAGGAGAAATGAATTCCGGAAGCATTGGATATTTTTTCGTTTTAACCGACGTGACGGTGGATCCCAAGTGAGTCTCGTTAGACGCATTGAATTCGACGTCGAGCATTAATGGAATATATCCCTCTTCTCTGACTCTAGCTCGACCTCCTCAAACCATCCCGGCAAACTGAACATCTAATTGAAACTACCGGTGAGTATTAAAAGCATACGGCAATTCTCACGGTTATGCTTTTCGTATTTTTCAATACTGAAAATAGTCGCAGGTAAAAATGATATAACAGCAGACATTAGTATATAGATCATATAATCGTACAGTTCAGCCATTTCCTTCCTAGTGGACGTTTCATTGAAACCAGACATTTATTCAGCTACAGGCTCTCGGAGGTTGACAGAGGCACTTGGTGAACAGTTACCGTATGGGTTCTCATAACGGACCCCCATCGAATAAGAAAAATTTGCATGAATCGTCATAGTAGTAAAACTTTTGAGGTCGTTCTCCTTCGGCCGTAGATCTAATAGACGACGAGAAAGCAGAGTGTCCTGCCCTTCATACTTTAGCGATATTCGTGCCACGTACAGGATATCCAAAAAGCAATTTATTGTCCAAAGTGGAAGTGGTCCGTGTTATTCTCCGAAACAGAAGAATAAGAAGGTCCCCCTTTCCGTGTACGCATAGAAATGGATTTCTCAGAGAAATGCATGCGGACGAGTTTCCCGCTTTTACACGCACGTGACGACGCATACGGGATACAAAAGCAAAAGGAGAGAAAACGGGTTGAAAGGAGTCTGCATAGTACGGGAGTTAAAGTTGCGCGGGTCAGGATTCCGGGACAGGATGAAACTACCCCCGAAGGGAGAGAGATCAGAATTTATGGCGGAGGGGTTCGCACTCGGGATTAGGGTTGCCGAAAAACATTGCGACGGTCGGGAGGATAGACGGGATTGTATCTGGTTTAAAAAAAGAAAAAAAATCTCTTAACCAGCATTAAAATCGAATAACGAGACGATGAAAAAGTCGAGGGCAAAAACGACTAGCAATTGGATCGATTCCACGCCTGGTGTGACTTAGATAATTACTCAGTTAATTATAGCACGATAAAGACGTTTGCTTATTCTATCATGGTCGTTACGCTGAGAATGAAAGCATGGGAGTCTCACAGTCCTTGCGTGCGGCTCGCCAGGCGTATAAAGATTTAACGCATTTCCTCCACGCTAGTGAAAAAATACGTAACGCGAGAGCAGATAGGCCATTATAATACTCTGACACGTTCGCCGTGAATATATCATTAGGGAGATAAGATGCCTATAGGACTATATGCGTGTATCGATATTGTAACAATGAAGAGTGTCGAATATTATTGTTGTTACTATCATTATTATTTTTAGTAACGGGCAAACGTCCAAGCGACCTTGCTTCCCCCCTCAGAGCTTCTTAGTATAAGGAGCGGATAATAATTCGAGCCCTGTGGTTGAGGCTATTTATTTATATATCTAAAGTTCATTCAGTCGTTAGCGATTTTATATACTCGAGCGTCATCGAGGAGTCTCGAGAAATTGTTATGGCATGAGCATTGTGAGTCTACGTCAATCAACGTCATTTCAATATTTCAAATTGCGCGCCATTACCCGATGAACATTACACCCATGGTCGGATGCTTCCGAATCCGCCCCTTATACCAGGAGTTTCTTCGCTATGAGAGGGCGAGATGCCTATAGTAGGAAACGCACTCGGAATCAGTGAAATAGACGATCTCTTTGCCTCGAAATTAGTGAGTCCATTTTTAAAAATACTTCCAAAGCCGGGCAGGAAGTATCGTATCTCTTTTACATGCCTGTAGCGATACGCCGCTCTTTCTCGGATGTAGATGACACAAGTTCTAAACCAATGGTCTATAGAAATAGAAAAACATTTCCAAAAGTTTCTCCAGATACTGCGTTGGAGTAATAATGTACGACTGTTTCTCTTCCGGCAATCAAGAGGACCTCTGTAAGACTGAGAAAATATGTACGAGCCAAGAGAGAGACAAAGAGAAAACGGTTGAATTAGAATATGAGGGGAAAAAATAATGGCGTGCAATCTCCACGAAAAAAAAAAATCCATCGAATCCCATTATTTGTCCAGCCGCTCAA